TTTTGCCCCCAAAAGTTGATTCCCCCCCGGGGCTGAGTATAACAGGGAGTCTCTAAGAATCCACCACCCCTTCGCTCACACACATCGTTCAACCAGACAGCTATTTGTAATCCATAGGGGGGCCAGGAGAAAAAGTTTGGGAACCACTGATATAAACCAATGAAACATCAAAAACTCTTAACTTTCAATTAAATAAATAAATTACACCAATGAAATCCACAACTTTTACAGCCTACTGTATGTTGCAACAATAGGACATTTCATTCTAGTTCCATTATTATTGTGCTTCTTATTTTGATCTGCATTGTTTCTATTTTGCTGTAGTTCAGATTAGTGATTAGTCTTTTCTCAGTGATTCCAGTTTGTTTATTCCTTATGTCTAGTGACAAGTTTTCGTTTTCCTCGTTCCCCTGCCTGTTATATGTTCTACCAGCTCACCGCCTCTGCCATTTTCTCTCTCTCCCTTCTTACCGCCAAGTCAGTTAGTCCAGTCTCTTGTTCCAGCTTTCTCTCTCCCAGTATTTATTCATCTCTCTGCAAAATCAGATGCAAATGGTGGCTCACTTCATGAACTGCATTGTGCAGTAAGAATGATTTTCTTCTGTTAGTAGTTTTCTCTTATACAGCTGACTAGTGCTGCCAGTAAAACAGCACCGAGCTTTGACCGTAGCCTTAAAAGTAGTTTTAACATCAACTCACTTCATTCCTTGAGTCGACAAGAAAAGGCACGTTAACATCATATCCGGGAAATGTCCGTAAATTCCAGCAAAATCTCAGGCTTCGGTTTTCTTGTGTGAATGTGCCACATAAAAAGCAGACGTTGAGGAGTAATTTATTCATGGCATCCCCAAATAATGCTTTATAGGGGTTTATTTGAGAAAAGATGAATATTACCATATTTCATCTGTGTTGGCATGAGAAACACGGAGAACTGGAAATAGAAGTGGATACTTATGAAGTGAACCAGAAGATTTAATCTGCCGAAGGTGAAAGGATGATTTCTTACTGAATGTAGAGAAGTTGTGGGGGGAGAGAGAGGAATCTGGAGGTGTTGGTCAGTCCAATGGCAGAGAGACAAAGAGCCGAGGAAATGCTGGTGACTTGGATGGCAAAAGGCTGGTAGAAACACTGGAGGCTTTGAGATTTGTTGCAGCTGCAGGAGTGGGAAAATTGGGTCTATCAGAAAAAAAGACGTTCCAATGAATTGCAAATGCAATAAAATCCTAAAACATGAAAACATGACGGTGAAACAGCAGCGTTTTGCTGCCATTTACTTCAATCCGCAAGCAAACTGGAGAACCAGTTCCTGAATCGGTCACGTGGTTCGGCCCACTGGCGAGGCTTCAAACGTCACAACCTTCATCAACACAAGCCTCAATATGCGCTTCATAAAAATCCTCCTGGATTACTCGACGCACTCCAAGGCAGAAAACACATCACCTCTAATCTGCATTAAAATGATTTTCATCTCATGTCTGCCACAGGACGGAGGCAGTACTGTCCTCAACAGAGCATGACATATCTGGATATCAACATGGCTACATTTAGTGCTTTAGCATTGGCTTCTCTTACATACTATGTTGATTTAGTGCTTTAGTGGAACTAATGTTTGTGGTTAGTGCTTAAGGGTTAGTGCAGCTAACGTTTCAGTTAGCAGTGCCCACCACTGGTTAATAATTTTTCTGTTGCCTAACAGTCTCTTGTGTTCTCTGTCTTTTCTGTTGTACTTTGTCAAAGTTAATTGTTGTTTATTGGCATTTGTTCTGTACAAAAATATAGAAATACTTATATTGTATTTTACAGCAGAATATTTGGGTATCTGAGACATTTGGACAGACTGCCACAGATTATCAACAACAAAAGAGGTAAATTGCTATGATTTAGCAGAAATTCTTATTGCCTGTATCAATAATTCATTTTTGAAATATTTCTTGCAGCTTCCATTTGTGACCATGGCAGAAAATGTTGAAACCAAAGTAAGTACCATTAAAAATTATTAGCTTTTTGAAGGGCAATATGTCTAAACAAATATTCAAGATCATTATATTAAAGTTTCTATGTAAAAAAAAATAAGCACATGATTCATACAGAGTTTAGAAATAAATTCTTCGTGTAGTTATTTTTGAAATTGCGGTTGGAGATCATGAAGAGCACCTTTTGTTTTTACTTGTATTTCAGGAGGATGATCTGCCTCCTGATGTCAATGACTGGAGTAGATCTCATGTAAGGGACTGGGCCCTCAGACTGAAGGGTTTGGATGTCTCCACTGCAGATTTGCTGTTTGAAGAAAAGATCTGTGGTCCCAGTCTTTTGCGTCTGGATAAATCAGATTTAACTGAAAGCGGTGTGAAGCTTGGACCAGCTAAGCTTATTATTCATGCCAGAGATGAATTAATCAGCAAGAACCCAACAAGTTCCTCTGACAAGCCTGGGAAACCCAGCAAGCCGTATCCATTCGGTAGATACCACGATACATTCAGATATGTAGAGGGCAGCGTTCTAGACGTCCCTGAATCGGGCGCCTCAGACTTTATTGAACCCTGCCATGAATTTAAAGGTTTCTATCGGACACCTGAAGAAAACCAACTGGAGAAGTTCACCACTGAGGTCATCTGGTTTGCAGCTGCCTGCATGAATAGCCGCACTAATGGTACCATACATTTTGGAATCGGAGACAAACAAGACTATGTCCATGGTCAGGTAGTGGGAGTCGCTGTTGATGACAAAGAAAAGTACCTAAACGGCCTTAAAAAAGCCATTGGTGATTACTTTGAATACAAGCACAAGGATGTAGCTCAAATGTGCATCAAACCGCCTCGATTTGTTGAGGTTCTGAACAGAAATACAACATCATCTGACAAATTTGTGATTGAAGTGGACATTGAGCCTCAGTATGCCATCTGTGAAGAAAACATCTTCCACACTTACGGCACAAAAAAAGGCACAAAGACCAAAGGAACTGAATCACAACCACCAAAGTCTCTCTACATCCGAGACGGTGGCAGCAGCAGAAACCTGCTAGTACCAGCATCTTCCAAACCCAGGTCAGAGTACAATCAGTTTGTGGACAAAATGCCTCAACTGTCACAGCACCGCAAAGAAGCAGAAGAGAAGCACTTCAAAAGAATAAAGAGCACAACTCAAGGCTCCAGGTTAACTCAAATAATAACAGGTGGAGCCTCATCATTGGATAAGTCCAATTTTGAACATTATGTCATCATAGCAAACAAATCTCATCCAAGCCATTTTGAAAATCTGGGATTTCTCGCAGAGCTCAAACCAGCTGCTGTTTTAGACTTTGATCCTGAATCAGCTAAACAAGGATTACAGACTTACTTTCAAAAGCAGAGCACAGTGAGCTCACATTTACCAGCAAAATACAAAATAATGGAAAGTGTAAAAAAAACTGCTGCCAAATTAGAATTACCTAAAAGCACCAGCTGGGTTTTCTGCAATGGAGGTATTGAGGAAGAGGAACCCTCAGAGGTTGACCAGTGGTTGATGGAAAAGGGCGCCTCGATTCGAGATGTGATTTCTTTCTTGTGCCGTAGAGATGTGCTTCCAAACAAAAGGTTCCTTGTCATTTTCTTACTTTTATCAGCAGTGAGGGAGGAAATGGATCCCCTTGTTGAGACCTTCAGGATGTTCCTGCAGGAGCTCAGAGAGCCAGGACAAATCCTCTGTATCTGTGACAATGAGAACACTTTCATTTCATGGAGGGATCTCATTGAGGCCAAGTGCAGAGTCGACATCTCTGACAGATGCATCTCTGAGCTCAGCTTTGCTGAAGTCAATGGAACCGTCCTCAGTCTCTGGTCAGAGAACCGCAGAGCCAAACGGTTCCTGCCATGTGGGGGTGAGAGCAAGGTGCCTCTTGAGAAAAGATTTGAGCAAACCTTGAATACTTTGGAGATCTTGTGTGTGAATCAGTGTGAAGGAGGAAATGAGGACAGAGCTGCCATAGAGGAGAACTTCTATAGAGGTGGGAAGGTATCATGGTGGAATTTCTATTTCTCTGAATTACCTGGATCAATACCATTCATTAAACGGGTCCAGTTTGATTACATCATGAATACAGTTATACCAGACCTATGCTCCCTACCTAAAGCTTGTGTCCTGTTCAATCTCCTCCATCTGCCTGGTTGTGGTGGGACGACCTTGGCTATGCATGTGCTGTGGGCTCTTAGGGACAAATATCGCTGTGCCGTCCTCAGGGAAAAGTCTGACTTTAGTTCTGTGGCTGATCATGTGATCCAACTTTTAATGTATCAATATGATGAGCAAACACCAAGGGGTCCTGTACTGCTGATGATCGATGACTTTGAGGACATGGAGAAGGTTGAAGAATTACAGTTTGCAATTGAAACACAGTGTACTGAAAAAGACATCCAGGCTGCAAAGGTCATCCTCCTGAACTGCATGAGGTCAGAGTCCAATGCAGTGACCGAACTAACAACA